TCAGAAAGAGAGAAACAAATACCGTATGCTAACACATATATATGGAATCTAAAAAAAAAAAAGGTTCTGAGGAACCTAGGGGCAGGACAGGAATAAAGACACAGATGCAGAGAATGGACTTGAGGATGGGGGAGGGGGAAGGGTAAGCTGGGAGGACGTGAGAGAGTGGCACTGACATATATACACTACCAAATGTAAAATAGATAGCTAGTGGGGAGCAGTCCCATAGCATTGGGAGATCAGCTCGGTGCTTTGTGTCTACTTAGAGGGTTGGGATAGGCAGAATGGGAGGGACATGCAAGAGGGAGGAGATATGGGGATATATGTATACATATAGCTGATTCACTTTGTTTTAAAGCAGAAACTAACACACTATTGTAAAACAATTATACTCCAATAACAGTGTTAAAAAAATAAAAAATAAAGTAGATCTTTTAATAACTACCAAGTAAAATCCCTGAGCGGTTAGAAGGCATTGTGTCATAATTTCTTAATTTCAGTGGAGGCTTTTTTTCTTATTGGTGCATCAAATAATGTCACATCTTTCAATCAGTGATGTCTTGGACTCAAAGAAATGCAGTATACACAGAATGGGATACACTACCATGGTCCAAATCTTCCTCATTCTTGGCCTGGCTTCTTTTTTTTTTTTTTTTTTTTTTTTTTTGCGATACGCGGGCCTCTCACTGCCGTGGCCTCTGCCTTTGCGGAGCACAGGCTCCGGACGCGCAGGCTCAGCGGCCATAGCTCACGGGCCCAGCCGCGTGGGATCCTCCCGGACCGGGGCACGAACCTGCATCCCCCGCATCGGCAGGCGGACTCCCAACCACTGCACCACCAGGGAAGCCCTTGGCCTGGCTTCTTGACTGCTTTTCTTATTTCCACAGTTAGACTCAACGATAGTCTATTCTCAACAGAGCATATAGAGTGATACTCTTAAAAAATGAATCAAATGAAGTCATTCCTCTGCTGTGACTTCTCACCTCATTCAGACTAAAAGCCAAAACCCTTACAAAATCGTACAGTATCTGAGCCATTCTTCACCCCACCTCACAGTCTTCTGACCTTCATCACTTCTTCTAGTCTTCTGTAAACTCACTTTACTTCAGTCAGTTTAAGAAAAATGTCAAGAATGCATCTACCTCAGGACCTTTGCACTTGCTTATCTCTCTGCCTGGAATTTTCTTTCCCCTATCTTGTGCATGGTACCCTACCTGTATCTCCCTCAGATCCTTGCTCAAATGCCATCTTATCAGTGAGTCTTTTCTTCGTAACCTATTTAAAATTGCAATCCCCTCCAACGCCTTTGGCTGACAGCCCATCTCTATCTCTGGTTCTTTTCCCTCCCTTTCCTTTTTCCCATGATTCCTACCACCCCATGACACATATATATTTTATTTGTTTCATCCTTTTGTCTGTCCCTAACACCAGTATGAAAGTCCCATCAGAAAAATGGATTTTTGTCTGTTTTGCTCTTTCCTGTGTTTCCAGCACCTAAAACAGTTCCTCAGCACATAGCAGGTACCCAAGAAATATTTGTTGTTGAACAAATGAACGAGTGGCTTGTGAATATAGCCTGAGGTCAGGTACAAGGTGGAAATTTCTTTAGAGTTTTGTGCTTTCTTTAAAAACATTCATATGTTATGTGTTTTATTATAAACAGCCTTTACCTCAAAATCTTTGAGCTAGAATGATAAACCTGGAATACGTTTACCCATAGCCATTATAAATCAGCATAAGCACAGTCTGAGAAGCTAGGTATTAGGAGCTTCACTTTATCTTGATATAAATTAGTTTATCTATAGCCCTTGACGCTCAAGGGAGAGAGAGAGAGCTTTTGGATACCCAGGCATTTTCAAAACATGCAGCTACGTTTCAGAAGTTTGCAAAGCTGGAGACATCAGGTTGATACCATATAGGCTGACTCTGGGTCCAAGTGTATTCTGAGTATACTTGGAGAATACATAATATGGTACAAGCCAATAACATTTGTGAGAAAATGAGCCTTTCCTTTAAAAAATCAAAAGTAAGTCAATGTAAGCTAAATTTGATTCTTTTTTTTTCTTCGTGTTGGGGAAGTAGAAAGAAGTGACCAGGAGAAATGCAAAGGCTGAACGCTCTCAGTGGACAGTCTTTTCCTTCAAAAGGGGGCAAGAGTGCCTAGGTCCAGCTCTATTTCCGCTTTCTGCATTTGTAATAGGCAATAATAATGTCTTTTAATACAAAGATGGCTTCTTTTTTATTCACCAGCAAATGGCAGCCATTTGCTAAGTCTCCCCTGCTTCTCCCTTTCCTTCTGGCACTTTCCACCATAATCTTTCTCCACTCTCCTATTTTTCCTTTGTTCCCGCGAGGCTTGATAACATAAGGGAAAAACTTGAATGTAAGTTCAGAAGAAAATGAGTTCAATGTGGGGAGTATGAATATAAGGACTTTGAAAAGAGCATGTGGCTGGCTTCTAGTGCTTTTTGGCGGAGAGCAGGGGAGAGAGCTGGCAGAACTCCTCCAGGCCTGCACGGGTGGAAAGCTGCTCACCTGGCTCATACACTGGGCCCCGCAGAGCAGCCTAATCTTTCCTGCCTGTGGGTCACCTCACAGTCTGTAAATGTAGGGTGGAAGGTTCTTCTGGGGGTGGAGAAAACGTAAGTGAGGCATCCTGTTCAGCATCTGCTATAGATTGTGGTGAGATGCATGCATATGCTGGGCTTTACTGATATAAATCATTTTGTCATGAGGCATCGTCAGTGCTAAGGTAAGTGAATCAATCGCCTTGTGTCATTATGGATCATCATCGGGTTGTGTATTACGTAATCTACCCACTGTTGGTTTGAATAGAGCACTTTTCGTTGAGGTATCTATTTGCAGACCTAGAGACTGACTTATGGCTCTCAGTTTGCTTTAGCCTTCTTTCAGAGCTTCTCCGCCTTTGTTCCAGTGATTCAGGCCCCAAAAGACCCAGATCACCCTTTAAACAGGAGGGTAAGAGGAATATCTACCTGAGCAGAGTGTTTGGGCTTTTCTATGAGGACAGCAAGGCAGGGGACGTGAGAGGGAATAAAGGAAGGAATCGCACCATGAAAACACACCCCAACGAGCTGCCATACAGCAGTCACTGCACGAATGCCAGTCATCTCCTTTTGTGCCTAACAGAAGTCCCTAGATTCCTAGATAATGAACACTGACTCGATTATGTGACACAAATGATTAGAATGACCCCGACTCTTCATTATTCCTTAAAGAGCTCTATAAAAGTGACCTTTCGTTTTTATTTTTTTAAATAAATATTATAGGGCTTTAATAGATTCTACACTTTAAAAAACTCACATAGTGACCTTTTAAATGTAACTTTTTTTCCCCAAATATCCTGCCATGACTTCAGAGATTTACAGAAGAATTATGCCTCTATCCTCCTCTAGCTTTCATCTTCTAAATTGTTGAATTTTTCATCTAATAGGGGAAGCTACCAATGCATAACCACAGGAAAAACAAATCTCACCTGAAGGTACTACATCAATGTCTAACTTACCTCACCCTTCATCATTCTCCCTGCTCGGGTCTTTTTTTTTTTTTTTCCCTTTTCTTCAGAATCACATTTTTTACTGCCTGCAGGCGTGGTAGAATGGGGAGAGCTCCCTACGCTGGCAGCTCCGACGTTTCCCGTGTTTAAATGTTCCTACTCTTTCTTCCTGCCTCCTCTTCTTTCCCAGAGCCTCATCCTTTTGGCGAGCTGCCTTTTCCTGGCTACTCGGAATAGTTCTCCAGCAAACAGTGCCTTTTCTTCTTGACCTACAAGTCCATTTAAAGCCATAAACCCCCCATATGTCAAGTGTTTTCCTCCAGCTAGTCAACAAGTAAAGAGGACGATACCACAGTCAATAAAGACATTCATTCTCATTTCCCAAGCCAGGGGAGACATGTTCAAAGAGGTCCTCATTAAGGACCTATTGGAGCATTCTGGATAAAGGCAAAATTGAGATATTATGCCCAACAAGGTCAAATTATTCTAAAAAATGCACGGCCTTGACTACAAGGGTTGTTTTATTTCTATCTGCATTTGCTGCAGCGCCTAGAACAGTGATTGTCACAGAGAAGCATGTATGGTAAAATGATCTGGATTCCTGGGTGACTCTGTTGTTGGGTCAGGTATCCTGAGAACATATACCATCTACCCTAGCAGAACCCAGCTGGGTAGATATTTGAAGTACCTTGCCTAATCCATGTAACTGCTTTACAAATGTCCCGCCATGGAAACAGTCAGCGGGGTTTGGGACAGTCCAGAGGAACAAATAAGTGCTTAAGCTCTGGAATCAGACTCTGGGCTGACATCTTGGCTCTGACATAGTTGTATAACTCTGAGCAAGCCACATAATCTGTCTAAGCCTCAGTTATCTCATTCATAACATGGGGATAAACAGTACCTTGCTATAAGGCTGTTATAAGGATTAAATGAGATGATCATGTAAAGTTCCCGGCACGTACATGTATAGCAGGCACACATTTATTCAGCTGCTACAGAGAGATTAGGGCACAACAGTCAATAAATGGCTTCACATAATCACTGCCGAATATTAATTCTGGAGAAACCTGTGATCAGCACTGATCAAAGGTCACTTTGTAAACAAAGACCACGTGATTTCACCGTGGTAGGAGCGCATTAGTTCTCATCTTCCCTCTCTCTCTGCTATTCCACCACACTGTGTATCAGTTAGGGGTCGGGATGCAGTTTGCCCTCACACTGGGCAGCAAAGCTCACGCTTGCACATACAGTGTATCTAGATCCAAGTCTAGTTCCCTCCTAATGTGCCTCAAAAGCAAAGGTTTCTTCCTTGGGGTTGCAGTGGGTGACCTGACTTGTCTCACCCAAACTAATCCACAGAACAGGAACATAAATCTCTGCCCACAGTATTTTCAGATTTGTCTTCATTTTGATGGAGGTGTTATTCTCTAGTTGCAAGCCAGGGAGAAGGCCCAGAAATTGCCCCATCTCTGGAGTGTCTTACGTTTGGTTGCAGAGAGCTGGGATTTATACTGCCCTCGGACCAGCCTGCAGGTGGACCCATCTCCGTTGCAGACGCCACAGTTATCTTCCTTGATGGTGCTTCCCAGCTGGTGATCGCAGCCAACAATCTAACAAGAAAGAGAGATGTGTAATTCAACCAGGCGCCTACTGATACGGAGGGATCCATGGTGAGCTCCATCACCACCAAATCATCCTCCTATCATCCTTGAGAAGGCTAAGACATGCTTCCCATGAAGGGGACTGAATTCAGCTGGAATTTGAATCAGGCTAAGAAGGAAAAAAATGTAGCGTGGATAAAGACATTTTCATAGTTCAAATATACTGAAATATACAAAGAGAAAGAAAGACGGGGTAGGGGGGCGGAAGGAGGGAGGGAGGGAGGAGGAGGAGGTGAGGGAGAGAGGAAGATCCTGAACTATTAACATAATGGAACCTTAATTCAAAAATAATTCCCAGCGTCAATAATTATGCTTCACCCAAATCACAAAAAATACAACTGTGAGATAACTGTAGCGGGAAAAATTTTATGAATAATCTCTATGTTCTACATTTTCCTTAGAATGTAAGATGCATAAGCGTGGGGTTTTGTATTTTGTATTCATTGATGTATTCCAAGCAACTAGAACAGTGCTTGGAAAATTGTAGGACTTCAACAAATATTTGCTGGGACTTCCCTGGTGGCCCAATGGTTAAGACTCTGTGCTTCCCCTGCAGGGGGCATGGGTTGCATCCCTGGTCCGGGAAATAAGATCCCACATGCCATGCAGCACAGCCCAATCAGCCAACAGACAAAAACAAGGCTAGCGTGCGTGTGTGTGGCGGAAGAGAGGATTGACACAGAGGGCGGCGGAGATAGACAACAGTGAGTGCCTGCTATCGACTGGCCCTGTCCTGTACCAGGCACAAGACATACATCTCATTCATTCTCAAGACAATCATGGAGGTCATGAAGCTTGCCAAGGTCACTTAGCTAATAAGTAGCCTAGTTCTAAATACATCTAACAGAACATTTGTGCTTCATCCAAATCGGGCTTAACAAAATCACAAGCCTTCATCAATTATGTGGGCAAACTCATTTGTATCTCTAATCTTTTCTTTCCAACGTTCAAGTTAAAAAAAAAATGCGAATGCAAACTAAATCAGGTTGTACCGCTATCGTTCTAGTGAAATCTAATATCCAAAGACTTAGTCTACTCTCAGACTACTTAAGCTACTGTCTTTGACACAATAAAATGAGAAGTGTAGTGACATTTGAAGGCGCTTGTCTTCACGATGTCCCTACGACCCATCCTGTCTTCCAAAAGGCTGTTAACGTGAACTCTCTTTGAGGCTTGATTTTCATGTTTTGCACCCTCAACTAATAATTGCAAACACATGTTTAGGCAAAAGTATGAAAAATACAACTGTTTACTATTGTGTTATGTATGTGCTGTATTTTTAAAATGTGGTAACATGCACCTCTCCCCTAAAAGCATACAGGCATCTTTAAAAATACATACCAAAACAACAACTCTTTCAGCAGCTGTACTTGTTTTAAAATGTAAAGATGTCAGGAAAACACAGTGGCCAAATCTTAAGTGGAGAGGGAAGGGGGGTTGGTTCCACCTCTGGGCGTTCACTGTGGTCAAGCTGCAATCGGTCTCATTACGTTCGGAAGTTACAGTGAGGCCACTTCAGAATTCACGTCAGCTTTGTCCGTGCAGAGCCCAGCATGTGCCGGTTTCTTTGATGTCCTTCTCTATAACTGCAGTGAAATTATTTTCAAAATTCTTATCTGTAGATGAACCCACACATGAGCTGAGCAACTCTGCATTCATTCTTATATTCCAAGCACAGTGTGAAATGCAGTGATTGAATCCAACCATGACTGAAGTTCTGTCATGAGCCAGGCACTCTTCTAGAAGCAATCCAATGGTGAGTTCTAGTACATATGGGTCCACCCTCATGGGACTTAGAGTCTAGTGGTGGAGGCAGATATTACTCAAATCATCACACACATGCAGAATGATAATTAGATGAAAGCTATAAAACACAGATATGGGGTACTCTGAGAGCTTAAAGTATGGGTAGATCTTGTTTAGAAGGGCCACAGAAGATTTTCCTGAAGAGGAGTCTTTTGAGCTGAATTCTGAATAAGGAGTCAGACTTAACTAGATGAAAGGGAGGTGTTGCTGTGAGGCTTATTGCATCTTTTAGTCATGCCCAGATACTAGCTAATTAGAAAGTATGCAAAAACCAAAGCTGGCAAAAACAAAACAAACAAAAAACCATCAAACTGGATTTGCCAACAGAAGCAAAAATAAACAAGGGTGGTGGGCTACATCAAACTAAAATCTTTATGTACAGCAAAGGAGACAAAGAAACAAAATGAAAAGACAACCAACTGAATGGGAGAAAATACTTGTAAATCATATATTTGATAAGGGGTTAATATTCAAAATATATTGATATAAAGAACTCATACAACTCAAGAGAAAATAAACCAAACAACCCTATTAAAAAGTGGGCAGAGGACCTGAATAGACATTTTTCCAAAGGAGACATACAGAGGCCAACAGACACATAAAAAGATGCTCAACAACATTAATTATCAGGGAAATGCATATCAAAAGCACAATGAGATACCACCTCACACCTGTCAGAATGACTACTATCAAAAACACAACAAATAACAAGTGTTCATGAGGTTGTGGTGAAAAGGGAACCCTCCCACCCTCTGTTGGTGGGAATGTAAATTGGTGCAGCCCCTGTGGAAAACAGTATGGAGGTTCCTCAAAAAATTAAAAATAGAACTATCATATGAACCAGCAATTTCATTTCTGAGTATTTGTCCAAAAGAAACAAAATCACTATCTTGAAAAGATATCTACACCCCTATTTTCATCACAGCATTATTTATAGTAGTCAAGACATAGAAACAATCTAAGGGTCAGTTGAGAGATGAATGGATAATCTCTATCTATCTACCATCTATCTATCTATCTATCTATCTACCTATCTATCTATCTATCTATCTATTTATCTATCTATCTACCTAGCTGGAAAAGAAGAAAATCCTGCTATTTGCAACAATATGGATGGACCTTGAGGGCATTATGCTAAGTGAAATAAGTCAGACAAAGACAAATATCACACAACCTCATGTATATGTGGTATCCAAAAACAAACAAACAACTCATAGATACAGAGAACAGATTGGTGGTTGCCAGAGGTGGAGGTTGAAGGTGGGTGAAATGGGTGAAAGTGGTCAAAAGGTACAAACTTGCAGGTACAAAATAAGTAAATCATGGTGATGTAATGTACAGCATGGTGACTATAATTAATAATACTGCATTATACATTTGAAAGTTGCTAAGAAAGTCAATCTTAAAATTTCTCATCACAAGAAAAAAAGATCTGTAACTATGTGTGGTGACGGATATTAACTTGACTTATTGTGGTGATCATTTTACAATATATACAAATATAAAATCATTATTGTGTACACCTAAAACTAATATAAAATGATGTCAATTCTATCTCAATAAAAAGATATCAGAAGACTAAAGCATCTGATTGCCTTAGTAGGGTTGAATCCTTTGAGAAAATATGGCAATCTTCACTTAGGCAGTATTCAAAGAATCATTGACTCTACTGTTCTTCTTTGGGGTTGAAGAGAGATGACCTTAATCTTATGAGATACTCAGCTGTGTGGAACGGCAGTGGGCATGGGAACTCATACTCTCAGGTATCTCAAACCTGGGTAGGTTTACTCGTTAAATTAAAGAAATTTCAGGTTTTTCAAAGGATTTAACTTTCTCTGGAAAAATTTTAATGGACTCTGATATCTCTAAAGGAGCCAGAAAGGAGATAATCATGAAAATCTCTTTCTAATCCTAAAGGTTTCTTTTGGTTCCAAAGCCATTTTAAGAAAAGAATAATCCAGCTTCATAGATCCAAAGTAACAGTCATATTAGGAATAGCTAAATAGAAGGTGACATACTTTAGGGCTAACTTGGCCAGACCACCAACTTAGCGTTCCCAGTGTGGGTTTATGGACCCTAGGATATGAACCAAGTCAGTTCTAACTGGGCTTTGTTTAACTTCAGAATTGAAAAGACAAACATCTCCCTGACACAATAGATTTTTTTTTCTTTCTGTATCAATTCCCTTTTAAAATGCCAAAATATTTTAACTCAATTATTTTTAAGATGTGGAGTATTTTATCATCAGATAAAATGTTCTTATTTTGGTCCAAGTGGAAAATTATTTGCAGTTATATCAGGAAAATCATTGTTGACATGTCTCAACCTGTTGAACTTGAAAAACTATTAATTAAAAATCAGTTAAACTATCACTTAAAGAGCTATCATTAACAATAGAGAAAAAATAAAAAGAAATACAGAAATGGCTTAGTTGGTAGGTGCAATGCCAGACTCCTCTGTGCCTTTGCACATGATATTATTTCTGCCTGGAGTGCTCTTTCCCAATTCTTTATTTGGCAAACTCCTATTCATCCTTCAAATCCCAAATTAAGTGTCTCCTCCTCAAAAAAGCCTTTTTCAGATTCCAGAATTATGTACTTTAATGGTCAATACTTCCTCAGCCTTTTGTTCATAATTCCATGTATCAGAGAGTACTAATTGCCACCTAAAACCCATCTATCCTATTTTTCTCAGTAACAGAACTCCAATTTTATTTAGTATCCTCATTGGCCATGTCACCAAGTTGTAATTAGTGAAACAGAAGTGGGAGAGTTATGTGGGACTTCTGGGAAGGCTGCTTACAAGAAGCTGACTTAGTTGGGGAGGGTCCCTTCTGCCTGCCTGCCTTCTGTTGGCTCCAGTGGCTTTCTTAAAAAATGAGATAGTCTTGAGAATGGAAGGATGGCTGAGCAGAGAGAGAGAAAGAGCCTGGTTCTGGAACCCCACTTGGACTGGTTACATCTTGACTTTTTTGGGTTTTTTTTTTTTTTTTTTTTTTTGGTGAGAGAGTAACTCCTTTATGTGCTTAAGCCAATATTATTTTGGGGTTTCTTTTATATATACTCAATTCAAACAGCTGTATAATTTATACTGAGTTTAATCTATTAACACGTCTGTCTCCACAGCAGATCATGGGCTATTTG